ATATACTGTAAGTGTAATGCGCACGCACGCATGCAAACGCGCGCGCAGACACATGCCTAGGTATGTGCGAGCCTATATGCACGCAGGGAATACTGGCAAAAATATCAGGAGTGTATAATATATATATATCTACGGAGCTGTCGCGTTTTGTATATAATCTGCTATATAACCATGTCGACAAGCGTATCACAGAAGGACACGACGTTTACGAAGATATTCGTCGGCGGATTGCCTTATCACACGACAGACCAGAGTCTGAAAGAATACTTTCAACAGTTCGGTGATATTGATGAGGCGGTCGTCATCACGGACAGACAGACGGGCAAGAGTCGAGGATATGGATTCGTGAGTAGATATATAATCCGTAGTACATGTGTACGTAGATAAACTCGATGTGTTGTCGATATTGTTGTATGCGTGTAAATATTGGCAGACGCACGGTTACACGTGCTCAATAGGGTGCGTATATACTCACGCATATATATCTAAAGCGGGGGACACACTATGCGAATTTCGCGGCGATTTTAACAATCGCTGCGGTCGTACGAACGAATTCGCATGGTGTGTCCCGAATGGTGGTACGAATTTGGCATGGTGGTACGAATTTGGTAGTACGAATTTGGCATGGTGGTAAGAATTTGGTAGTACGAATTTGGCATGGTGGTAAGAATTTCGCATAGCGAGCACGCGCGTTCGTACGCACGAGCGAACGAACACAGGCGTTCACACACACTATCAGGAATACATACTCATGCACGGCGCACGTACATATATACACGTCACATCTCTTCCCATGCACACATCAGACACCATGCAAGCACGCACGCGTGTACGCGCACGCGCATACACGCGCGAGCACGCACACATGTACGTACAAACTTTAACGCTTGTATACGCGCGCGCGCACGCAAGCACGCACGCACGCACGCACGCACATACAAACGCATAAACCTGGGTACATACATGCATACAGGATGTCTGTACAGACAGGCGAGTAGTTGGGAAATGGGTCACATCCACTTCAGTACGAACCATCCGCTAACACGGCACAGCTGACAGCATTTCTGTATACCCCACGCACACCCAGCGCACTCTATACGGGTTGTTTAACGCGATACTGGTCTTTGATTGCATTCCCGTTTTTATTTCGTATAAGTGTTATTTATGCCTCACGTATAAACGCTCGTAAAAGCTGCATCCCAATGTTTATGCGGTGGCGTCCTAAGAATAGACTTATGTTCTACTGAGCCTCCAAAACTACCCTCTCCTAGAGGCGAGAGGAAGCGGGAGAGAGAAAGGGCAGTGTTTTCTGCACGGATAAATCAGTTACATGTATAACACACCTAGCTGATAGGTTTGGTCTCCATGAATTCACGAAGGTATATCCACGTTTTAGTTTGCATCATATGCTGCTGCTGCTGCTGCCTTGCTAAATCATTGTCTGCTGTTGGCTCGCTGCTGTTGCTGCTGCGTGTTGTGTGTGGTGCTGCTGCTTGCCGCCTGGCTGCTGCTGCTGGGTGGTCTGCTGCTGCTGCTGCTGGCTAGGCTGCTCCGCTGGTGTTGGTGTCGGTGCCTGGCTGCTGCGGCTTACTTATAACTACTGTTATGCTGCTGCTGCTGCTGCTGGTGGTGGTGGCTGGTGCTGCTGCTGCTGCTGCTGCTGCTGGTGGTCCGTAGGTTGGTGCTCTGCTGCTACTACTACTCAAAGTGATATTTCCTAACCTGCTGCTGCTGCTTATGCTGCTGCTGCTGCTGCTGCGCTGCTGCTGCCTGTCTACTAATGTTGCTAGCTCGCTGCGTAATTGGTGG